CCTCGCTGCGCCGCCCCCCGCAGAGGCCGGCCCGCGGCGCGCCGGCGCGGCGGACAGCCAGGGGGTTGCCAGAAGGTGCGCCTGGCACAGGGCGCCCCCGGCTCTTCGCTCCACCCGGGAGCCCCCTGGGGCCCCCTGGGCCCCGCGAGGGGTGCTCTGCAGGCCGCGGGGGGGGCCTGCGAGAACGCGGCCAAGGGCGAGCCGAAGGGGGAAGGACGCAGAGGGGCAGCCTCTGGCCATCGCTCGGACGTCCATTCCCCGTGTTTTTCTCGGCTTCGTGCGTGGATTTTTTTCGCCAAATCGTCAAGGATGCTCCTCGAGGGTCCTCGCCGAAGGAAAAATGCACGCGCCCGAGCGATGCCGAGGCCTGTGGAACGTCGCGCCTCCTGGATGTGCACTCTGACTGCAGGCCTCACGACCTCGCGCCCCACGCCCCGCGGGTGCGCGGCGCGCGGGGATCCTCAGAGGCCCTCGCCGCGCCCGGGCGCCGCCCGCCTCGAGAGAAGGGCAGGAGCGGTCGAGCGACCGCGACGCGCGCGGAGCGCAGCCATCTTGGCGCCCCAGATCACTCCTCCTCTTTCTCCTCCTCCCCCTCCTCCTCCTCCTCCTCCTCCTCCTCCTCCTCCTCCTCCTCCTCCTCCCTCCCTTCTCGCCGCCTCGCGGAGCAGCAGGAGGGGGGAGGGGGGCGAGCCGCCGCGCAGGTGGAGAGGGAGCACCGGCTCACGGACCGCCCCCTGGCGCCCCTGGGGGTGGCCCAGATCTCCGACGAGCTGAGTTGTCCGATCACTGTCTTGGACGTCGGGTAAGATGGGGAACCCAACTCTGTACGCCGACGCGTTGTTTCTGGCCCGGCACCGAAATTTGCACGCATGAACGCGGATCCTGGTGCATACGGGACCCTGGTGTGTACATGTGCCGTCGATTTCCTGGGAGGAGAAAAAAGTATACACCACCCCACCCCGACGTCGTCCCCGATCCTCAAAAAAGTCCTGGGGGTGAAAATTCGGGGATGGACAGACCTCCCTTTAGTAAAACGTGGTTTAGTGAAAACGACCCGAGACCCAAACCTGGCGGGCGCGAGCCTGGAAAATAACGGCCGCAGCGCCCTCTCGAGAACCGAAAACGGACAATCCACTAATCGACGCGTCACTGTTGGGGGTTCTGTCCACCCCTGAAAAAACAGCCCGCTGCTGGTAAAGTATATGTTCCAATTTCCGATCAGAGTCAGGCGCTAGCTCCCGGGTGGCAGCGGGAGGGACCGAACGCCCGAAAAAAAGGCGAGCGGGCGAGGGCCAGAGGAGAGGCACAACGGCGGAGGGACAGCGATCTGGACGTTCTTTCTTCTGGATTCGGCCTCTGTCGGGAGCGGCCAAGAGGGGGGTGTCCAAGAGGGGGGGGGTGCAAATCATGACCGGCGGCACGTGCGCGGCCCAGCGGGGGGGCCAGGGACGTGATGAAATAAGAAGAGGCGCCATGAAATCTGGGGACATCTCATGGCCCACACCGTGATGTCCACCCCCCGCCCCTAGGCATCACCCCCCTCTTTTCCGCCGAATTTCGGGTTGGGGGGGGTAAGGGTTCCACATGTGTTTTTCCTATGTTTCCCGACCCCCCCACCACTGGAAATCGAGGGTAAATCTGAGCCTTCGGGTTGGGTTGGGGTGGGTTGGTGGGTGGTGAGATTCGGCCTCTGGGGCCCGACCTCGGGCTGCGGGCCCACCGGGAGTGGGGTCCTGGGGCGAGGGCCTGGCCCGGGGAGAGGGGTCGGGAGCTGCGCGCGCCGAGAAGAGCATACCGTCACAATGGCCGGGAGCCGGGCCTCTCTTGCGGATCGTTGGGCCGCTTCCTGCTCCTCCCGCCACCGACGGGCAGGATCCGTACAGTCGAAGGTGCGAGCAGCCCTTCGAGGTGCTTTCGTCCTGGCCCTCAGACTCGGATCCCTGGTGCGTGCAGTTGATGTGTTGTCTGGCCTTTCGTGGAACGAACTGGATGCGTGGCGCGCCCTACCGCAACTCCAGATGTCGTGTTGCTCCTCCTCCTCCTCCTCCTCCTCCTCCTCCTCATCCTCCTCCTCATCATCATCAGCAGCAGCAGCATCATCAACAGCAGCAGTAGCATCGTAGCATCAGTAGCATCATCAGCATCAGTAGCATCATCATCATCAGCATCATCAGCAGCATCATCAGCATCAGCATCATCATCATCATCCTCATCATCGTCGTCGTCGTCATCCTCATCATCATCATCATCAGCATCATCAGCATCATCATCATCATCAGCATCATCAGCATCATCATAATCATCATCATCATCAGCAGCAACAGCAGCATCAGCATCAGCATCAGCAGCAGTATCATCATCAACATCATCAGCGAAAGCATCAGCAGCATCAGCATCAGCATCAGCAGCAGTATCATCATCAACATCATCAGCGAAAGCATCAGCAGCAGCAGCAGCAGCAGCATCAGCATCATCATCAGCGTCATCAGCAGCAGCATCAGCAGCAGTATCCTCATCAGCAGCATCAGCAGCATCATCATCATCACCACCACCACCACCACCATCATCATCATCATCATCATCATCATCATCATCATAGTCACCAGCAGCAGCAGCATCCTCCTCCTCCTCCACCTACTCCTGAGGCCGCCCACCTGCGTCCAGAATGGATGGGGTAGGAGGATCAAACGTTATCGCCGATGCATATCGGCGCGATCGAGATGGAGAAAATCGGGCTCAGGGTCGCGTCGCATCGTCGATGCATCAGCAATGCAGCGCGATCATCCGACCCCACGTACGACCGGTTCGTGTCAAAACGACTTCTACGTTGGTTCATGACATCGCGTGGATCTTTGAACCTTCAACGAAGGGCGGCCTCTCGTTCACCAAATCGTTCCACAATGGCCGATTCTGGGTCACCGGCGGCATGGGTCGCCGCCGCGTCGGCAGGACACGAACCTACCGTTAAGTCGCGCCTGTCCCCCTATTGGGGGATTTTGGAGGAAAAATAAAACATCAAAAAATACTCTAACATGATCAAACACAATAGAAAAATAGTCCCCATACTGTTTCCCAACCATCCTGTGGTGTTGGGTCCTCGTTTTGAAGAGACGGTGCCCCGCGTCTCCTCTCCCTCCTTCCTTCCTTCATCCCTCTGCCCCCTCCCTCCTCCCACTCACACGTTTCGTGGCCCCATAGGGAGCTCCACCGAGGGCCCCAGTGGCTGCGTTGGCATGGTGGCACCGCACCCATGTCGGCACACCCCTCACACGTTTCGTGACCCCATAGGGAGCTCCACCGGGGGCCCCAGTGGCTGCGTTGGCATGGCGGCACCGCACCGATTTCGGCACACCCCTCACACGTTCCGTGGCCCCATAGGGAGCTCCACCGAGGGCCCCAGTGGCTGCGTTGGCATGGCGGCACCGCACCCAATTCGGCACACCCCTCACACGTTTCGTGGCCCCAGATAGAGAGCTCCACCGAGGGCCCCAGTGGCTGCGCTGGCATGGCGGCACCGCACCCATTTCGGCACACCCCTCACACGCTTCGTGGCCCCATAGGGAGCTCCACCGAGGGCCCCAGTGGCTGCGTTGGCATGGCGGCACCGCCCCATGTCGGCACACCCCTCACACGTTTCGTGGCCCCATAGGGAGCTCCACCGAGGGCCCCAGTGGCTGCGTTGGCATGGCGGCACGCACCCATTTCGGCACACCCCTCACACGTTTCGTGGCCCCATAGGGAGCTCCACCGAGGGCCCCAGTGGCTGCGTTGGCATGCGGCACCCCCCATTTGGCACACCCCTCACACTTTTGGTGGCCCCATAGGGAGCTCCACCGAAGGCCCCAGTGGCTGCGCCCGCATGCGGTTCCACCCCCCATTCTGGCAAACCCCTCACACGTTTCGTGGCCCCATAGGGAGCTCCACCGAAGGCCCCAGAGGCTACGTTGGCATGGCGGCTCCGCACCCATTTCGGCACACCCCTCACACGTTTCGTGGCCCCATAGGGAGCTCCACCGAGGGCCCTAGCGGCTGCGTTGGCATGGCGGCACCGCATCCAATTCGGCACACCCCTCACACGCTTCGTGGCCCCATAGGAGCTCCACCGCGGGGCCCCAGTAGCTGCGTTGGCATGGCGGCACCGCCCCCATTTTCGGCACACCCCTCACACTCTTCGTGGCCCATAGGGAGCTCACCGAGGCCCCAGTGGCTGCGTTGGCATGGGCGGCACCGCCCAATTTCGCACACCCTCACACGCTTCGTGGCCCCAGAGGGAGCTCCCCCGAAGGCCCCAGTGCTGCCGTCCGCATGCGTCCCGCACCCATTTCGGCACACCCCTCACACGTTTCGTGGCCCCATAGGGAGCTCCACCGAAGGCCCCAGTGGCTGCGTTCGCATGGCGTCCCGCACACCCATTTCGGCACACCCCTCACACGTTTCGTGGCCCCATAGGGAGCTCCACCGAAGGCCCCAGTGCTGCGTGGCATGGCGGCCCGCCACCCATTTCGGCACACCCCTCACACGTTTCGTGGCCCCATAGGGAGCTCCACCGAAGGCCCCAGTGGCTGCGTTGGCATGGCGGCGCCGCACCCATTTCGGCACACCCCTCACACGTTTCGTGGCCCCATAGGGAGCTCCACCGAGGGCCCCAGTGGCTGCGTTCGCATGGCGGCGTCGCACCCATTTCGGCACACCCCTCACACGTTTCGTGGCCCCATAGGGAGCTCCACCGAAGGCCCCAGTGCTACCGCCCTCGTGGGTCCCGTACGCCCAGGACAGCGTTTCGTGGCACGCCTCTCGTGGCCCCATTAGGAGCCCCACCGAAAGCGGCACCCACAAAGCGTTATTCACAATTGCATATGGTTGGGTCCTTCGCCAAGATAATGTTTTACTATTTTTGAATTTTCCGCCTGTAGAGGGACAGGCCCGACTTAAACCTACCGTTCTCTGGCCCCAGATTGGAACGGACTGGGTCCTCCTCATCTGTCTCCTCCCTCTTCGGCGCAACTTTTCTGACCATGCCCGCTGTGGCGGTTCGCGATCGCAAGCGCGCGCAGGCGGGCCAGCCCCTTCCAAGAGGCCTAAAGGGGGGAAGCACACGGCTCAGCCACGCCTGCCAGTCGCCTCGTCGAAATCCCTGGCCGCCTTCACGCCTCCAAGGGCTTCTTCCAAGTAACATGAAGAAGACGGGTCCTGGAGAAAACATCCCTGAAAAATTTCGCCGCGTTCGAGCCCCCAGGGCCCGTCAGAACACGACTCAGGCTGAAGAGCCGGCCCTAAGAGGGAAGCTCCAGGGTTTGGGACCCGTTTCCCTCAGGAACCAGTTCTTTCATGACGATCCGCCCGACCGCAAAGTGTGCAAGGCCGCAACCGCGAAAGAGCTGCCACCAGCAGCGAGCGATATCGACTCACCCAAAGAATGTACCATCCCCACCACTGGCCTCCCTTGAGGCGGGGCAAAGAGAGAAGCTCTCCCATCCCCACCTCATGCTCCTCCTCCTCCTCCTCCTTCACCACCTCCGCCTCCTCCTCCTCCTGCTCCTCCGCCTCCTCCTCCTCCTCCTCCTCCTCCTCCTCCTCCTCCTCCTCCTCCTCTTCTCATGATTCTTATCACTGTTTGTCCATGCACATGTGAACGGCGCTGTGAAGCCTCCCCTCGAATGCTCGCCATACTGGCACGGCAGAGGACGAGCCAGTCGTCCCGTGGTAAATCATAAGCTGCCCAAACCGCACCATAACCCCCATCATTCTTAAAATCGTCGTCATCATCACCACCACCACCGCCACCACTCATCATCATCATCATCATCATCATCATCATCATCATCATCATCATCATCATCATCATCATCATCATCATCATCATCATCATCATCATCATCATCATCATCATCATCATCATCATCATCATCATCATCATCATCATCATTATCATCATCATCATCATCCTCGTCGTCGTCATCATCATCAGCATCAGCATCAGCATCAGCATCATCATCAGCAGAATCCTTGTCATCATCATCATCGTCATCATCAGCATGAGCATCATCATCATCCTCATCAGCATCATCATCATCAATCATCGTCAGCATCATCATCATGCTCATGCTAATAGTCGTCAGCATCATCTCCATCATCATCATCATCATCAACATCATCATCAGCATCGATATCGGCATCATAATCGTCATCACCGTCATCATCGTAATCGTCATTATCATCATCGTCATCGTCGTCGTCATGATGCACCTCGTCGTCGTCACCAGCAGCAGCAACATCATCATCACCATCGCCATCGCCATCTCAATCGCCATCACCATAACCATCACCATCGTCATCTTCACCATGGTCGTCGTCATCATCATCAGCATCATCATCTTCATCATCATCACCATAGTCATCGTCACCATCAGCATCTTTATCAGCATCATCATAATCAACATCGTCATCATCATCACCACCATCATTATAAACATCGTCAGCATCATCAGCAAAATCATCATTAGTATGAACATCATCACCATCGTACCATCATCATCAGCGCCATCATCACCGTCATCAGAACCCCCATCAGCATCATCGTCTGCATCGTCAGCATCAACGGCATCGTCATCGTCATCATCATCAGCAGCAACAGCATCATCATCATCAGCATCATCATCATCATCTTCACCATCACCATCCCCATCGTCACATTCAATATCAGCGTCAACATCATCACCAGCATCGTCGGCATCACCGACACACACACATCAACTATACCATCATCAGCATAACCAGCATCATCCGTCTCATCATCAGTATCATGAGAGCCACCACTATCATGTTATCATCATCATCAACGACAACACCATCATCATCATCGTCATCATCAACATCATCATCGTCATCACCGTCACCATCACCATCATCATCATCAGCAGCATCATCATTATCAGCATCGTCATCATCAGCATCATCATAGTCATCTTCACCATGGCTATCATCATAGCAATCCTCGCCATCACCACAACGACTCATGCGCAAGTCTCCTCACACTGCCAAGCACGCTGCAAGTGAAGCTGATGTCGTGGGTGTATGCGAACGCTGGGCGGCCAGCATGACAGAATCTCAACTGACCGCGATCACTGACAAAAACCACACGCATGCCGAAACGAAAGCGAAACCGAATGTTCAAGCGACGCACAGACCTTGAAAGTGTATATAGAGCTCGATCGGCACGCGCAGCCCTGAACGATCGGCGGCCCTCCGCTCGCCAGATCTTTCCACTTGGCCGACTCTGAGCCACTGGCGGCGTTCAACCTTGAACGCCCGCGCTGAGGTAGCCGCCGCGTCGACGCGACGCGAACCCTGCGCAAGAGTCCGACCGATGCGCTCCTCCTCTGAATCCTGCACCTCAGGCCCCATCCACGCCAGGGGAACTTCAGGGGGGGAGGGGCTCAGGAGGGGGACCATCGACCTGGAATCGGCGATCATTCGCCGACACATCGGCGAGAGACTCCCGACAGGCACGCTCCTGGGCGGGATGGGCCATCGGGCCCCGATCGGTATCGGCGATGACTGGGCGATCGAGGGTCGATGCATCATCCCCTGAAGCCATCCCCTAAAAGTGCCCCTCCTCTGACATCCGCCGATGCGGGTCTTTCAATCCGCGGCCCCAGGTCCCGCCCAACTGCTGCCTCAGAAGCTGGCGTTCCTCCCAGATGTACTTTTCATGGTCCTGCACCCCCTGCATCCCCAGATCTTGATCCCCGCCCCACCTTCCGCCCCGGGGACCAACGAGCTCAATGCTGAACCAGCCACGGCCCACGGCGGAAAAATCGGATCGCGCGGCGCCCCGCGCAAACATCGAAAGTGAGGGGCGAGGGGAGACGGACCGCGCGCGAGTAGCATTACCTTCCCAGGTTAGCGTGGGGACCGATAGAAACCCTACCGAGGCCGAAATCGAAAGAGAACGCCAGGATTCGAAAAAACAGATCGTCGGAAATCTGAGCGCAAACCAATCCCTAGACCTCTCCTAGGGGCCTTCTTCCCAGAATTCCGAGGCGAACCCAGCTTTGGCCAGGACACGCCTCCTGCAGGCCCAAGAACGCACAGAAAGCTCGACTCTTGACCTTCGAGGATAGAGTTCCTAGGGGCCTCCTGGATGGGATCCGGGTAGATAGGATCGGCGGAGCACGCCGCATCGCCAATGACATCGGTGACGTCGGCAACGCATCGGCGCCATCGGCGTGAAGAAAATGTGGCTCCACATTGAACCGCCTCGCCGATGCATCGGCGATGCATCGGTGACCAGGCGCGACCCTCCGACCAAGTATGCTCCGACCCCGTCTGGGAGGCCTGCAGGAGCTCCTCGAGCCCCGACCACCTCCCCCCCCCAAGGAGAGCGCCAGCGCGTCGAGACCCCGCGCGCCCCCCCAGCAGCAGCAGCCCCCCAGCGAGACCCTGGGGGAGGAGCGCGCCCGGCCTCCCAGCAGCAGCCCCCCAGCCGCCGGGGAGCCCAGCGCCAGCCCCGGCGCCAGGCCGCCCAGCGCGCCGCCGGCGGGCACGCCCGGCGCCAGCGCGCCGGCGCCTCCTCGGGGCGCCGGGCCCTCGTTTTCGGAGGAGGGGCACGCGCCGATGCTGCGCGCGGCGGGCCTCGCGGGGCGCGGGGCGCGGCGCGAGGTGGCCTGGGGAACCAACGCGCGAGGCGTCACGGAGCGAGCCTGCCGCAGATGCGGCACGCGAGAGGTGCAGACACCCTCCTCCTCCTCCCCCTCCTCCTCCTCCCCCTCCTCCTGCTCATCCTCTTCCTCCTCCTCCTCCTCCTCCTCCTCCTCCTCCTCTTCCTCCTCCTCCTCCACCGACTGCCCTCTGCGACGACGGCGGGCCGGCACTGGCAGCCGGCAGCGACAGCGACGGCATAGGGGGGAAGCAGCACCAGGGACGCCAGCACTCAGAGCTCACACTGGGGGAGGTCCAGGGAGCAGCGGTGCCTGTACTTCCAGGGATGAGGGTGAAGGCCAGGTCTGCTCCCCAAGAGCGGGGACACCCCTGGCATCCTCACGTGGTGTTTCCCAAATCAGTGCTTGCACTGAAGGGGTCCTGGCGGAAGTTGAAAGATTTGGCGAAAGTTTCCCGCCGATTTTGGTAGCAGGCTGGGTTCCCGGGTTCCCGGGTTCCCGGTTTTTGGTTCCTGGCCGAGGGTTCCCGGGTTCCCGGTCGATCTCCTCAGCGAAAACCATCCACTAACTGGGGTGTTTCTCTGGTGTAATTTTGTTCCTCTACGGACCAATGCAGGGATGATCGGAACTGCCAGATTCCCCATTGAGGGAAAGGGGACTCCACCAAGCGATGCACAAGCCATGGCGCTCAGAGAAGGAACGCGCATACACACACACACACACACTCACCGATGCTGTTGCCCTTCCCTCTGCCACAGCCGGATTCGCCTCGAAATCCTGGTCAGAATGCACACTGGGAGAGGTCCAGGGAGTAGCGGTACATTTCTGTTCCCACAAAGATGAAGGTGAAGGCCAAGTCTGCTCCCAAAAGGGGGGACGTTCCTGACTTCCTCGCGTCGTGAGAGATGTAATAATGTTGATGCTTTGAGGTTGGAATGGAAAATCTTGCGGCTTCTCCGACCCTCTGGGGGCACTCTTGTCGCCATTGTTGGATCCAGCTCGGAATGCTGGTCCCAACGCACCCTGGAACAGGTCTGGGGATCTACCCACCCGCCCCGCGTCGTGAACGACTACACGACGCAAGGTTTTTAGCAATGTTCTGCCTCTGGTGGCCCTCACTGGGCCGTGGGCCGTCAAAGCGATGAAAAGCTGGTCCCAAGGAAGGGTCCAGGCCTCTGAGGAACCACGTTGCGAAAATCAAAACACTCCGTCTGATTTCCGTGGAGGCGGAGGAGGTTCGAACTGTGACTTTCGAACTTCGAGGTCTGAGGTTTCTGGGCGTTCCTCTGGGGGCCTTGGGGGGCTTCTCCTCGCCACTGCTGGATCCGCCTCGAATGAAT